ATTATTTTCGCTGTTTCTTTTTTTTTTGGGGCGGGGGGGTTTCAAAAAATCGACCTTTCGCGGTTTTATTAAGCCGCCATGAGTGGGCATGGCGTCTGTTTTCAGCCCACTCATCATTTCCTTCCTGTCAATATTCTCTTTCTAAGAAACAAAAGGACATTCTTTAGTTTCCTCTTTTTCTTTTCCAATAATTCCTCATTTATTATACATACATACATACATACATATGTGTGTGTATGTAAATTACACCTTAACCATAATAAATAAAACCCCATGTTAATTTAAGAGCGTCTGGAAAAATGTCATGCCATGATGAGACGAGAAAAAAAGAGTAACCCCAGAAGAACCAAACCAGGCATGCCCAAGAAAAAGGAAGAATACAAAAAAGCTGCTCTTTTTTGTTTTTCTTTCCTCGCTAATATTTTTTTTTTTGTACATTAATAATTCTTACACATACGTATATTTACAAAGCACCCGAGTTAATTCCATAACAAACCTGTGCGTATACTTACATACACCACGTTTATAAAACTATGAAATTATAAAATTGTTCCCCTTTCCAACAAAATGTACATGTACAAAACTGAGGAAGGAGAAGAACTTAGTTGCTTACAAATTTCTCCGCGGAAATCAAATTAATGATCCTGAAAATTAACAGAAAAAGCAAGACATATAAAAACTCATTAGAGTGAATTAGTTTAATTAAATTAGTAAAGCTGGGTGGGTTTTTCCCGTGTCTGTGGTGGATACCTAATTAATTAAATTAATTAACGGGCAATCTCTGTTTGCAAATGCGAATTCAGCTCCACTTGTTCCGCCTCCCATTTGGCCTTAGCCACCACTCCATCATGCATCGGCACGTACTCCTACCACAACCAAAATCTTATCTTTATAACCATATTCTGCACGCACGCACACACATATTTCACCCACCACGAACGAATGGAAGTAGGTGTACGAGGGAGAAATGGAAGAACCTCAAGTTTTTGGAAGAGGTCAGTTGCGGTGGAAGCAGAGATGATGATGCTACGCTGAGGAGGGTTGATGAAGCCATCGTCGACGGCTTTGTCTAAGAAGGTGAGAAGATAGTTGTAGTAGCCATCCACGTTAATCAAACCCACCTGTTTATGTACATATACATCGAATATGGATTGGGTTCGTAGCTATATATCTATATATACATATATATGTGTGTATAAGTATAAGAAGAATTGAGGAGACACGGAGAAGTAGCTTTACAGGCTTGTCGTGGATTCCCAGCTGGGCCCATGTTATGACTTCTAATAACTCTTCTAGAGTTCCATATCCACCTAATTATTGCACAACACAAACACCAAATTAATCCTTAAGTTTCTAAAGTAATTGCTTGTACAAAATTAATTAAAGAAAGAGAGAGAGAGACCTGGTAAGGCGATAAAACAGTCAGAATGGCGGGCCATCTCAGCTTTCCTTTGATGCATGTCTGCTACTGCTTTCACCTCTCCTACTGTTTCTCCAGTTATCTGCTTTATTTACAAACACATATTTATCTCACTTTCTTTCCTTAATCATCTTCAATTTTCAGACTACATATGCATATATATATATATGTATGTATCTCTATGTATGTGTACCTCCTTGCTCATCAGAGTCTTTGGGATGATTCTGCAAGTAAAACAAATTGAAGATCAGAAAGAGAGGAGAAAAGAAAAGAAAATCGATTAAAGCTAATTAATGTTGTAGGAATATAAAATTGACATACATAAACGAGAAATCTCAGGTGTGTATATATACCCTAAAACACGTCCACCCCCACGATGAACCTCCTGAGAAACGAGGCCCATCAGCCCCACACTTCCTCCGCCATAAACAAGATCCAAACTCCTCGTCACCTTCAATACAAAACAAAGATTGATGTTTTCTACCTAATTGCAGATATATATTCAATCTAGTAGGTAAATAAGAGAGAAAGGGCGTGTTTGGGGTTGTGTATGTATGTATAAATGTGTAAATATACCAGTTCTTGGCCGAGCTGAAGAGCAGCATCGCGGTAACTCTCTCTCTTGCCCGTGCTGCTTCCACAGAAAACACAGACTCTTTTGAACTTTGATTTAACTGACTTTTTCTCCTCCATTGATATTTGTTTTCTCTCTCTTGAGTCGCTTATTCAACGAGTTTTTGGTTTGCAGATTCTTTGGCAAAGGTAAAGAGAGGACCCCCAATACCAAAAGAAGGAACATGGAACATCACCATTTATAGGACTCCCAGGATAATTTGGTCACAGTTCAATCCTATTGCGCCACGTGTCCCTCTTATTATTTATTTTCTACCTTTACCAAAATTTGCCGACAGGATTCGTCCCCCTCATTTCCCCCCCCCCCATTACTTTCTCAACACCTCACCCCTCAATTTCATAACAATTTTATTTCTTATTATTTGTAAGTATTTAACTAAATATAATTGAAAAGTAAATAAATATATAAAAAAATAAAAATATTTTTAAAAAACATGTACGATACTTCGATACATTTTATAAATATAATTAATTTATTTTAAATTTTTATTACAAAATTATAAAATAAAATTTTAATTCTATCAAATCATTCCTATTTATAACTATTCTAACTCCAAAGAGGTGGCTTAGCCACAAATATATTGTGACTATATATTTACCAACCCACCAAAAAGCATAGCCATATAAAAATAGTATACTTACACACACACCAATTTGAATCATTTTGTAGTACTATAAGTTGTAAAGTGTTTAACCCAAGAATAAAAGTTGTGATGCCACATTTTATTTTTTTTAAAGAACTTTAAGTGAAAAGTTAAACATTCTTTTGACTACCTTTTATTATTACAAATTATTGACTTAAACTTTTATTTAAAAGGGTAATTAATAGTACAAATTATTGACTTAAACTTTTATTTAAAAGGGTAATTAATAGTACAAATTTTACATACGATACTAAACTTTCAATTCAAAACTCTAATTTGATCAAACTCCAATTCACACTATATCAATTAGTGTTGTTTTAAAATTTCGATGAATTATTATATCTGTGGAGTAATATTCTAGTTGATTTGTCTTTTTTATTACCTAATAATGTTTGTTAATTACAATTTGATGTATTAAATGAAAATAAAATGAATTAATCAAAATGGTTGATATTGCCTCTTGCATTTCAAGGGAGAAGTTTCTCTTCTTCTGCTTCATCAATGGATGTAGGCCAAACTCGTAGTGATGATGTTAGACTCAATCCTTCGCATATTTGAGGAGACCAAGCGAACAAGTTAAAATATTTTTGTAAAAGCTCGGTAGGGTTTGTTTAAAATATTTATGACAAGTTTAGTATTCTTGCATTTACTATATTTTTTTGTTTTCTTACGTTGGAATTAACTGACATAAGATTCTTAATTCGAGTAAATGAAGTTCGTTTTATAAATGTTATCTAACTCACATGAATAATTACGTAGAACGACCTTCTATTATACTTTTAGTAAAGAGTATTCTCTTAAAATATATTAGTCGACTCATAATTTTGTGACTCTTTTAATAATTGAGTACTTAATACCACTATAAATTAAAATTTTTAGTACTATAAATACCATATATATCAAACTCTCTATATCGGATAGAATTCATTTAAACTTACATGCCCCTGTGTGATCTTTTTGATGGCCCGATACGCCTCATCTCCTCTAGCATAGCTTTTGATCATTTGATTATTGTAATTAATTTGCAAAAGTGATGAACTAATCAACATTATCTGTTTGTTTGATAGGCTCATGTATCGAAGATAGTTGACGTATATATATATATATGTATATATATTTACGGGTTTAAAGAAAAGAAGAAAGAAGGCAATGTCATTCCAAAAGAGAAGATGTCTTAATAGAGAAGATGTATCAGCTTCAGTCTCTTATTCTTGCACTCTTAACTGTTCAACTGGCTACGGAGATGTGTACATCTCAACTCAGCCATCCACAATTACACAAAACCACATATATGTATGTATATATATATGTACAGGTGATTCTTTAATACATATTTGTATACCCATATATTAATTTAGGGTAAAGTTCAGAAACTTTTTGTGTATATATATATATATATGAAAAACGTATATTAATATATATATATATACATATATTAATTTGAACTCGTTAATTTCTTTAGTATTAATTTAGTGTACTGAATTGAAGTAGTCAAAGATAACTTACTCATCATAAATATACAAAAGATCATTAAAAAATTACAAAGAAAAGAATTATATTACGATTCTTGATCTTGGAAATAACATGTGTTTGCTCTCTGATTGAATTTATATATATATATATATGTTTCATAAGTAAGGTGTGCTTAAATTAATTAATTAATTAATTAGATAAAAATTTATAATTTATTATTTAATTACTTTTTTGTTGTTTTAGTTTTCTAAAGAAAGACGCCTAAATCTGTGGAGAAAAATGATAGGAAGCTGGAGAGAAGGGCCCACTTGACTATCATGAGTCAATGGTCTCCACTTGACTATATCTCCCTCATTTCCCCGCACGTGTCGCACGTGGGAATTAAAAACCCAAATTTTTGAATTATTATTCCAACTCACCTTCACCTATTATTTTAGTTGTTTTCATTATTTTTCTAAAGATCAATTACAAATATATTTTTTATATTAGAAATATAACTATATTATTAAAAAAAAAAAAAAACTCATTTTTGAGCCTTACGTAAAGTTCTCTCTCAAACACATTCATCTCACTTGTTTATTACGATATATTTCAATGCTGAATCCGCAAAAGATAATAATTTCTAAAAATTCTAATTTTTAATAAATATTTTTTATAAAAATAATATAGAATCTTAACGTAATTGACATCATATATAAAGAGAACCTTTATACGTAGTTTAACAAATGTATAGGTCAGAGAAATATTAAAGTGGGTTAGATCATGTTTTAGCTAATTACCAATGATACCAGTTGAATTCTCACACTATCATTACTCACTCATCAGTCCCTATTTATAAATGCAGATGATGCTTTAGCTTTCTTGGCACCCTGAACATCAATTTAAAATTGAAAATGCACGAATAAAAGATGTAACATGTACCTCCATTATTTCCAAAGCTCGACATCAATCGGTCTTTACCTTTAAAGGCCATTGGTTTTGTGAAAAAGTTATATACATAAGTGTCTCTCTTCTCAAATATTATTTAAATTATTTACATATATTATAGTTAACTACTAATAAAATTACTACCACTGTAAATAAAATTCAATAACTAACCTCTACCAGAGACAATATTCAATTAGAACAATCTCTACAATTTAATCTATAATATCTTTTCAAATAATAATACATTTATTAAAAACAACAAGTTAAGAATAAATGACTGCTAAGTAAAGATTGAAATATCTCTTATTTTTATTTAAAAGCTACCATTAAAAAGATTAAAAAAAAAACTACATACTCTTCAGGCATATTAGAATATTTCAAGGATAAAATTAAAGCACTCTACACCTCATCGTCACATACTCCCTTTACTATCTATGCTTTTTGTACCATTATCCCATGGATCGAATGCTTACTCAAATCTAAACAACTATCTTAGATGAATTAAAAATAGTTAAGGCTCTTAAAAGCATAAGCCTCTACAAAGCCTTTAAACTAAATGATATTCTATCATCTGTTTATCGTAGATATGAGTTTATTATTTGAAATAAAGTATTACCTGTTTCAATATCTTTTTTCAATCAGTTTATTTTGAACTCAATTAAGCTAGTATTATACTAATCTGAAAGATCTCCTCCCTATAAAGATTTCAATATTTTCGACCCATCTCACTTTGTAATGTCATATACAAAATCATAGTCAAAATATTGACAAACCATCTATGACTCTACTTAAAATGTATGATATCTCTTTATCAATATACTTTTTTATTCATAACAATAAAATATAGAATAATGCCATTGTGGCACAAGAGTCTTAGCTTTAATGAAATGAAATGAAAAAAAAGGAAAGAAAAGGAAAGGAAATGAAAGAAAGGAAAGGTAAGATAATTTTGCCTCAAATATGATATGAGCAGTGTTTATAATAAAATTGAATGGGTTTTTTTATGCAGGTTTTCCAAAGTCTAAACCTTTCTCTTGAAGCTATCTAATTATTATCCCAATGTTATACCATAGTTTCATATTAGTTGATTATTAATATGATTTCCTTTAAAGATTACTTCTATGTAACAAGGATTTAGATAGGATATCACCTTTCCCTTATGTGCCCATCCTTTATACAAATCTTTTACCTCATCTATTTAGTTTCGCTGAGAAATAAAAGTCAATTAAACAAGATTCAAATGATTAAACAATATTTTTAATCAAACGTACGTAATTAATTGTACGTTTAATTGAATAAAATAAAATACTGAATTTTTATGTATTAATACAACAGTTAAATCTCAAAGTTACTTTGAGGTAATTAAAAGAAGGTTAAAATATATCATTATTTTATTTTTTTTCTTCTATTAAATGATTGAGAACTTGAAATAACGATTTTTTTTTTAAAAAAAAAATAATAGTTACGTGTCATATATAAATCGTGAATGAAATAAGAATGCTTATCTAAATAATAATAATCATGAAAATTTCAACATTTCATACACAAGGCAAGCGTAAAGAACTCTTACTCGGACCCACATTTCATTTTCTTCTGCATATTCAACGCAAGTCCAAATCTTCCTCCCTAACCACTAACATACTCATCCCTTTGACCAATTTTAAACAAACTTTCTCCAAATATTATTATCAACATAATCAAATAATAATCTTCTAATCTTCCCCATCAAAATAAAGTGTTTAATATATGTATACACACACACACACACATATATTTCTCTTCAACTTGTACTTTTCTTAGGCTTTGTTGGCCACCAATTAATGGTTTATTTTCAAGATATAACATGATTTCATTTATTGAATGATTACGAAAGTGTAGTTCTTAAGAAATTTGTTAAATTTTAAGTTAACATATATATATATATATATATATATAAATAATATTAGGGGTGACTAAATAAGAGAAAGTCTTTAAACCTTGTGAGTTTGAAATTTTCTAATATATTTTGTTTGGGTCATCAAGAATTTAATGGTAGAAATGGAATTTTAATTAATTAGCTTCCCATCACAATAGTGGAACTTACGTATACAACTTTAATTTCTTTACAATGGGTCTTTTCTTTTGTTTGAAAAGTAATTAATGACTTAATAATTGAAACCCAAATTCCATTTCATTTCTTAATTAACAAACTAAATCACTTTTAGTTAATTAATTAAGTTCCTTTTAAGTTAATTTAACTACAATCTGTCTCTTCATCCCAATCTCTGGTTCGTCATTGTGGAGGTTAGGTGATGATTGTAGGGAGCAAAAAAAAGGAGATTCCATTAAACTTTTTGGTCGGTATGATAAATGATGGTTCATAAGTGACAAGTCAAAATCAAAGCTCTACATATATATATATATATATATATATATATATATATATATAGGGTCTTGGTTAGGTGAATATATACTTGTTACTAATTAATAACTAGTGGGGACTTGATTGGAATGTAGTAGAATTTTTTAGAGAATGGAATTTTAAATTTTCAACTAATTCAGTTTTGACCACATATGAAGAAAAACCTAAAGTCATCACCCATGTGGCTTGTTCATGATCGTGGATCAATTTTATCCAATTTAGTTTTTTTTATGTGTTGTGTTAAATTCTACATGTATGGTCAATCAATGCGTATGTACTGAAGATAAAAGATATATATATATATATATATATATTAGTATATAATACATGTACCATCACCTCTGATGTCAAATGCATGTACACAAATATATACGTATATATAAAGGAGGTCTTGCGTGGTGTGGATACATTATTAGTTTTCTTATGTTTCTAATGTTCTTTGACTTGGAAACCATCCATTTCAATAATTTATAGTATAAAAATTACATTTTGTAGTATATATTTATGCATATATTGTCACTTTAGAAAAGTAACTAAAGCATACCATGACTTGTTCTTTGAATGTCATGGCTTTACTTTATAATTAATATATATATATATATACACATAGATACATATACATATAGGGCAACAAATACCATGACTTGTTCTTTGAATGTCATGGCTTTGCTTTATAATTAATATATATATATATATATACATAGATACATATACATATAGGGCAACAAATAGTCTAGTTGGTTGAAATGTCATCTCTTCTAATTCATTATTTTTATTATTAAATACTAGCATTGTTGAAAACTTGGGCTCAATGAGATTGCCCTACCTTTTAAATTGGAGTTTTAATGGATAGAAAGACTTATTTAATATAGTTAGAAAGAAGTTTGATCATGTCGGTACATGAAATTTTAAGATTATTGAATTCTTTTAGTGCTCTAATATATAAAAGTATAATCATAATTATATATTATATATATTTTTTAATAATAATATGTAAATTAAATTTTAAATTAAATAAATACTGATTAATAGTTATCGAATTAGAACAGAGAGATACACAACATGACTTTTTTAGAATCTATAAGTTAAAACAAACCATTACAACACTCATGCAGAATCAAAACTCTAAAAATATTTATTTTTCAAAACTAAATGCCTTATTTGATGAACTATTTAATTATAAAAATTTAAAAATAGTAATTGAATAGCAATAGATGAGAGTAGATAATAAAATTTCTTATGAAACTAAACGATTCATACAAGGTCGTTAAAAATAAATATCGTTGATTAAATATTTTTTTAATCCTAAATGAGGTATACTCAATTATCAAACAAGAGGAAGAACATAGAGAAATCTTGATGGACAGTGTAGGGAGAAAAAAATGTAGCTTTAGTATCAAAAAGTTAAATAGAACAACTTGGAGAGTTAACACAATTCGTGAGAAATACTATTATTCTCACTATAAGATTACAGTTCATACCATTGAATGGTGCTGTAAGACAAATATGAGAAATCATGCATATTCCATTGTAATTTGTTTGATCATACAATAGAGACCCGTTACAGATTGCATAGTTACTCAAAGGGACATAACCTTAATGGAAGAACTAAAGTGTCTAATGCTAACCAAATATCGATATCTTTTACCTAAGAACATAACAATACAAGAAAACAATAACCCATCACTCAAGAACAATATGATTAATTGATGACATTACTATGGCAGAATCATTCCCCAATGCATTTGGTACAATCATTTGGCACTCATCATCAAGAGCTAGCTATCACTAGGTTTTTTGTATGTATTTCTGCATCACTGCTGAAATACATTGGATCATTAATGTATAATCATGGGATTATTAATATTAATGTATCATATTACATCATAATTATACATAGTCAATATATAAATATTATAAAAAAATTTACTAAAATATAGCAAATTATTCAAAATAAAAGATTTTATAAATCATTGATTTAAAATTTACCCAAAACAACCAAGAATACTCAATATAATGGCTCATGTTGATTAGACTTTGAAAGGTTTGCTCCTTTGGGTCCTTTTGTAACCCTTTTCTTTTGAATCCATCCAACTTTTCTATACCTAACAATGACATTAAACTACTACGATCTTAGAATTCACGAAACATGGCATTTATGACCTTAAAGAACTAGCTTATTTTGTACATTGCAATAAGATTAGAACAATAATAACATTGGAAAATAGCTATGTCCATTCAAATGCTAATTCAGGACAATTTTTCTTTCCAATTCAGATTTTTTCAAGATTTACACCAGTAAATCAGCATTCTAATGCTTATTCAAAAATAATAAATGAGTACATTAGACTAAAAGGTTAACGACGCGTAAGTCCACTTAGTTTCCCACCAAGCTTTTGTTAAATTTAGCCCTTTTCTTTTTACATAAATACATATTCATGTGTACTTATAAGGTCATGTGTGAGACATTAACGTATATATATTTAGTTAGACTCTGCAGCCCCTTGAAACAATGGGAATTGCCATATGGGAAGACCAATTTACTTAATTATATAGCTAGTTGGTAAGTATATTTAAGAGTGACACTCTTGTCTGAATCAAACGCCTAAATATGCACTCTAACTCAACTTCAAGGTCTTCAATGGCGATCTCCACAGCTTCCAGTCTCTTGTTGGCACTTTGAACGGCCATCTCATCGCAAAAATCATACAGATCCTGGCTACTGGAACGCATAAACATGGAGGGAAAAGACCCTTTACTCGATTTTCTGTCAAGCCAAGGAATGGAAATGAGAGACAACAAGGACTCCACTGCAGAGATAGCAGTAACCCTAACTTCTCTCAGCACATCTACCACAACCCTAAGGTTGTGGTCTCCTGCAGTTGTTTCCATACCTGAAGTGATAACGGATTTCACCTTCATGGCTTTTAGTGAGTGCAAGCACTTGAAAGTTTCCTTCTTTAACTTTTTTCTGTACCGATTGTAGGCTGCGATTTTGTCGCCTATATCAGAATCTGCACTCTTACTTACTCTGCGGAGCGTGAATTGGAGGTCTTGTAGATGTTCCTTGACGAGCAACAGAACGTCTTTGGAGATGCCACAGACGTCTAACATTGTTAGGGAGGCTTCTGAAACTTGGTTGACCCATTTCTCCAGCCCATGGTGTATTAGAGCTTGTTGGATACCTGGGGAATGAAGCAGATCATTAGCTGAGTTGTGCATGTCCCTGAGAGCATTGAAATTCATGCCCGACATATTTCGAAGAAGAACCTTAATGGGCTTTGAGGATTATGTATATGTGTGTGTGTATATGTGTGTTTGTGTATATATATATATATATATATATAGAGAGAGAGAGAGAGAGAGATCAGTTCATGCAGCTTATTAGGTATATACTGTTCAATTGGGTAACGATCAATTTCGGATAAGAAACTCTCAGCGCAATTATATAGAATGAAAGATGAGTAAGAAAGGGCCATATCTGGTGCAGTAGATCTCAGATACCGAGGAAGAAGTGCAGGAAGTATCCATTGACAGTACGGACAATAGAATAATTGGTAACAGCTAAGTGATTGTGTCTTAAGGAAGCTTCCTTATTACGGAAAAATAAAAGGGTAGAGGGACAGTGAAGTTGTTAAGATATTGGTGTTGATGATTTAGACGTACAAGCTTGAGAATGCATGCACGAGGAGGTAGGATGCCAGCCTGCGTTTACTGTTTGTTTCCAAAGAGACAAGGTGTTGTGTAATTAAGTGACTCAAAAACACTTTTTAAAATCCACTTTGGTTTTGTTTTTTGTTTTTTTGAAAAAGATAAGGTTTCTAACAACTGTGCATATATACATATATACGCATATAATACAATTAATACGTGATCTTGTTTTTCTACATTTGCGGCGTGGAATCGGAGGGTAGCTTTAAGATCCACAGCTTCCGTGAGTACCCTTCCGAGAAATTGTTCTGAAGTTTCCTACATACACAGCAGGAATGGTCGCATGCTTTTTAAGAGAAGTAAACGTCGGCATATTTACAATTTCTTCACTCGATATATTTATAAATATTGGATATGGTGTATTAGCTCTTGGAAAAGAAAGTGTGTGTGTGTGTGTGTATATATATATATATATATATATATATATGAGTTATTCTAAGCCTTGGGCTTTTTTGACGTCGAGCGTGGACCCATCTTAATCTTTTTTTATGGTAATCTAATTATGTTTAGGACAAATTAATTAAGAAAAAGTTAGTTTTAATATGATTAATTAAAATTGTAGGTTTTATTATTTTTCAAAATAACTCATGACTCTTTATATTTACATGTCATTAAGCTTCTCACTAGATTAAGTGGATTAATTTTACGATGTTTATGTTATAAATATAATAATTTAATACGTGTTTTTTGAATTTTTCTATATGGTTCATGAATTATGCTTAATTATAATTTATAAATTAGATTCGATTATAATTCATATATTTTAAATTTTAAGAATTGTATTAGTATCTATAAATATTCATGTACTTAAATAAATTAAAAAAAATTAAGTTAACGACATTGCCACTAAACTAGGATTAGTAAAGCTAAATACCCATTTCACCAATTATGATTCATGTAAGCTAAATCACTTTTAGTTGTAGAACAAACCCATTTTAAGAGTGACGATCATTTGGATGGCCTGCCCGATTGACATGATCATGGTATCACTAAAACATTGAGTTAAAACTATGATTTGATGAAGTATAAGGCAAGGTTGACAGTGTCTTTTACATAACACATTACTTATTTTACATTGTTCTCAGAGTGTAGAGCTAGTAAAATCCTGTCTAAATGCCAGCTTTACAAACCACCTGTATCCAATACCCCATATCCATCGAGATAGACAAATCGAACAGCATAGTAGACCGCTGGTAACAGGACAAAGATAAGAACCCACATGAAAGTTGCACAGCAGAGAGAGAATCCGACATGAGTCTGAAGACTTAGCCGAGATGATGAGGTTTGCATTCGTTTTGAGCTTCCATGGAATTTTTCTTAGCCACCGTGGTTGTAGAATCACTTGCAGCGATAGAGATTGCCTTTTGGATTCGTCGGAGCCCAACCATATTGGAATCCAGATTGGTCTTAAAGTCCAAATTTATTCAAAGAAAAACCAATTAGGCCCAAAATAATGAACCCAACCCATTGAGAAAATAAAACCCCAAAATCGTGCCCAGTCCGTGGCCCAGCAGCTCAGTATTCTTCCCCAGACGGCATCGTTTTGGAAAGGATATTTTTTGCCTTCTCCGGAATCAGCCACGACAGAGAGGAGGAGAGGCGCGTAAGCCAGAAGACCGAAACAGAGGGAAAAAAGAGAGTAAGTGAAGACCAGGTGGGGGGCTTGGTGATGATGACGAACGGCATGGACCATGAATGAAATAAATGGACATCAGGAGTTTGAAGCAGGTAAGATAAGTTCGACACCATAGGTAAAAAAAAAAAAAAAAAAGCAGAAGATGGTGACGACGACGACGCCGAAAAACAGAGCAAGCAGAGAGAGAGAGAGAGAGAGAGAGGCGAGATAGCGTGAAGGAGAGTGAACCTGGCTGTAATGATTTTTGATGAGTGATAGTGAAGAAAACTGAGATTTCAGCTATAATTAGGAGGCGATTGGGATAGAAGGAGACAGGTTTTCCAGTGAGCTGGGGAGTGGAAGGGGTACGAAGAGAAGCAGAGGAGGGGAGAAAGGGGGAGGGGATTCTTCGGTTTTAAATCTATTATGCGTAAAATATTATTAAATTAATTAAATCCGGTTAAAAAATAATTTAATATAATTAAAAATATATTAAGCTTTAATGTGTTAAATTAAAATATAATTTTTATATGTAAAAATTAAATTTATGATATTATTAATTAAATATTATAATATTTTTTAAATATTATCTTATAAATAACTATAAAAATTATTAATTTTAAAATCTATTAATACAAAATTATTAGCAAAAAGGGTACAAATATAAAGAATAGTCACATGGTCTTTATAAAAAACTATCTATTAATAAATTAATAAGGACTCTCTTAAAATTGATTTAAAAATCATTTTATATAAATAAATTTAATAGAATTAATAATTATATTATTACTTATTAATTGATAAGGTATTTTATAATACTTAATTTAAATTAAATAAAAAACAAATTAGTTTATATTTATCACGTTTATATTTAGTTTACACGTTCGTGACTTGGAGGTTAAAAGCCGTTTATTCCGGTCGGCTATTTTGACCGTCAAAGCTTAGACCGGACACAGTTTCGCCACGTAACTTCTCCGACCATTATCGTAGTAGACGCACACCAGGAGAGCCGACCGCCTCAGTCAACGCTATTCTCTTCTATTTAATTCCAGTTCCCAGACTCCGCACGCCAATACTGAATCCAGAGTCACCATCAGTATCAGAGTGTTCATCACAGAGATGGCGCAGATTTCCGGACCTTCAATCGATCCAAGAACTGGGTTTTGCGAATCTAATTCTGTATTCTACAGTAAGAGGAAGCCCATAGCACTCCCACCAAACCAATCCCTGGACATCACCACGTTCATATCATCCCGAGCTCACCATGGCAAGACCGCTTTTATTGACGCCGCCACAGGCCGTCACCTCAGCTTCTCTGAGCTCTGGAGAGCCGTTGATTCCGTTGCGTCGTGTCTCTCCGAGATGGGCATCCGAAAGGGAAACGTCATCCTCCTCCTATCTCCCAACTCCATTTTCTTCCCCGTCGTCTGCCTTTCCGTTATGTCACTCGGCGCCGTTATCACCACCACCAACCCTCTAAACACCCCCCGGGAAATCGCCAAGCAGATCTCCGATTCGAAACCCGTCCTCGCCTTTACGACTCGACAACTCGTCCCAAAACTCGCCGATTCAAAGCTTCCCATCGTTCTCCTCGATGAGGAGCTTGCCATTCCCTCCATTGAGGCTAAAATTATAACGACCTTGGGTAAAATGATGAAGAGGCAACCGAGTGGAAGCCGGGTGAGGGACCGAGTCGACCAGGAAGACACGGCCACTCTGCTTTACTCGTCAGGTACAACCGGCGCCAGCAAGGGAGTCGTATCATCCCATCGGAACCTGATCTCCATGGTACAAACAATCTTAGGGCGATTCTTTTTAGAAGACGGAGAGCACATATTCTTATGTACGGTGCCGATGTTCCACATATACGGTCTGGTGGCGTTTGCAATGGGCATACTGGCATCAGGATCAACGGTGGTGGTTCTGTCTAAGTTCGAGATGCACGAGATGTTATCGTCGATTGAAAAGTACCGGGCGACGTACCTGCCACTTGTGCCGCCGATACTGGTAGCAATGATGAATGGGAGGAATCAGATAAAGGGCAAATACGATCTTAGTTCGCTGCAAACGGTATTGTCCGGCGGGGCACCTCTGAGCAAGGAGGTGATAGAGGGTTTTCTTGAGGCGTATCCGACGGTGAAGATTCTTCAGGGGTACGGGTTGACGGAGTCAACGGGAATCGGAGCATCAACGGACTCGCTGGAGGAGAGCCGGAGATACGGAACAGCGGGGATGTTGTCGCCAAGCATGGAAGCGAAGATTGTGGACCCACAAAGTGGCGCTGCCCTGCCCGTGAACCGAACCGGTGAGCTATGGCTCAGGGGTCCCTCTATCATGAAAGGTACGCTTCATTTTCATCCTTGGATTCTCTCAGCTTACTCCTCTTTTTCGGCATGTGGAAGGTTTCTAAGATATTGATAGATATATTTTTTTAAAAAATGTAATTTTTTATTTTATTTGATATTCCCTGTCCTTTTGGAACTTTTCGATTTGTTATTATCAACAGCAGTGGGAGTTAAATTAATAATTGAATTGACTTAGATTGCAGACTTCATTTCTTTGCAAGGTTATGATGATAAATGACAAATAGTATCTGCACAAAGTTTAGTTGCATAATTTACATTCATAACCAACATGAAAATGATATCTGACAAGTATGACTACTTCCCATTTGGTTTAGTTTATTTTTTTTGGTTTTAACTTTTCTATTAGTCTCCATGTATGATTAGAAGATATATATTTTTCAAATCTTTCAGCTACATCCAGCCTCACCTTGAGGCTAATATGATTAGTTAGTAATGGAATGAAAACTGAACTAAATGAGCCTGTAGTAGTTTCTCCTTCCTAATTTTAAGTGTACATAGTCATAAATTTCTTTTTCGAACTCATCTCTGCAAGTTTGTTCACCATTTAATTATAATGAATCCAAGGAGAATTGGAGGTTTTAGGGGTTTCATGAACAGGATATGGGTTTCAAATTTATTTAAGTTAACCATCCTTGTTTCTGCATTTACCAGCTCCATGTTGCATCAGTAACCATCTTGTGAAGCAGATATCAAATAAAAATTTGGGATTGTGATGATGGGCTCATATTAATCGAAACAATTTTATGGAAGAGGCAGTGTTGTTGAAGCTCCATATAGTAATAATTCATGGGTATGATGTTGCAGGTTATTTCAGCAATGAAGAAGCAACGACTTCGACTATTGATTCAGAAGGATGGTTGAGAACTGGAGATGTCTGCTACATTGATGACGATGGCTTCCTTTTTGTGGTGGACAGGCTGAAGGAATTGATTAAATACAAGGGCTACCAGGTGAATGAAGCATCTAACTATTTGGCTTTTCTTTTCTTCCTCAAATTTAGCCTTGGACATTCTCAAGCTCTGTAAGCAGTGGTTTGTCGAACAATTTATGGCTTAACCGGCCTTGGTCTTTTCAGGTCCCTCCTGCTGAGCTAGAGGCCTTGTTACTTTCTCATCCAGAAATTGCAGATGCTGCTGTTATACCGTGAGTCCTCATCATTCATATTCGTTTAAATACCCATCAGAACATGGCCTCTGTTTTGTTTGGTTTCCTCTGCACTTTAATGTTTTTAAATCTCACTTGGGTTAAGCAAGTCAAAAAAAAGAGTTGTTAAAATCTTGTTTGTTTGGCATCTCAGTTTTCCTGATAAGGACGTTGGACAGTATCCTATGGCATATGTGGTGAGAAAGGGTGGCAGCAATTTATCAGAGAGCAATATAATGGATTTCGTAGCAAAACAGGTATGCCTGAAAATACAGTGACCTTATGAATTATTTATCAAAGGATTTAGCTCGTGTTCAGCTCTGGTTGCATTATGAAGATTGTTTGTTAACTAGCTGTAACTTGAATATTCAGGTAGCTCCATACAAGAGAATTCGGAAGGTGGCATTTGTTGCTTCGATACCGAAGAATCCATCTGGCAAGATTCTGAGGAAGGATCTCATAAAACTTGCAACCTCCAAACTCTGAATGATTCAGCCAATTTTCTGGTGTAATGTGAAAACTGGTTTACTATTTGTCTATATATTGCTTGGGGACATTAGGTGAATAAGAGGTAACCATGTTTATGTGGGTTTCTCAAGGGAAAACAACAGAGTGAACAGAGTCCTTACTTGGATAGTTGGATATGCATAAAATGTGCAGTGCTCTGTATCTGTTTGTAAAACGAGCACTCTCTTACCTAGCTATAGTAATGAAAATTTTGTGGTGTGTGCGCCAATCAGACATTTGATTATCCTATCTATTAATTTCTTAGCAAAATTTTGATAATAAAGAGAGCTAGAAGCTTGGTGGTTTAAAAATGTTTGGAAGAGTAACCATGAATTATGATGGGAAATAAACGGTTTAAAATTTTTTATTTCGTCAGGAAATATGAGAAAGAAAACCGCCTAAGAAAAGCTCTGCTGGTCTAATTTACAAGAACGTAATGCATGAGGAGGCCAAAATGTAGGTGCATACATCAAACCTGCTTCTGATCGGCATGAAATCAGCTCCATTAAACTGCATGCTGCTGTCGTTGATTATTATGTGCGTGAAAGATAGGGAAGAAAGAAGCTACGGAAGCTCCTTTACAGGTATCCATGGAGGTAAGAGCTTCCTGTACATCATCACAAGGATTATTCTTCCTGACCAATGATAGAATAAAATCCATCAATTCTTCTTCACATGGAATCTGTAATGGTCCATGGCTCTTCGTCCCAAACTCCTCCTCTGCCATCTCCAATAAAACTCGGAAGATTGGGTGATTCAGATAGCAGAGCGGAACCAAAAACCTCTTGCCTTCTCTGGTATAAACCGCAAAATGACCCTTCTTCGTCTTCCCAATTATCCACTTGTCAATCATCCCACTCACCTTGGTTGAAGAACTCTTCATGTCCAGTTCTTGAATGTTAGTTTACCGGTTTTGTCTATAGCTGGTTGCAGTAGAGAGTTTTGGTGGTTTGGCGACATGGGTTCTGGTTTAAAAAAGGTGAGATGATAAGGATGAAGATTGGTAATGTGTGGAGGAAATGGACTGACTTGTGACTTGAAATTATGTTTGAACACCTTTTTCTTCCAAATTTAATAATTAAATTGTATCTGCAGCCATGTGTGTAATAAATTTGAGGAAATGGGCTGATCTTGTCTGGAACTTGTGAAGTTATGAGTGGAGAGTTGTAGAGAATGGAGGGAGTTGCAGGTAGATGTGATGGAAAATTCTCTACTTTTAACTCATTTCAATATGTTATATTGTATGTATAATGGAAAAAATTCAAGTCTCAATATCACAATCTCTAACGAAAACATAAGCGACGAAATTTTTCAAAGAAAATATTCAGAATATACAGTATATGCATTGAACTAATATTCTCGTAACAAGAGATGAAAAGACTAATTATCTAACTAAGAAATAATCGATAACATGTTTGATTCGAGAATTGATAGTAGAAGACGAAGACAAAACAAATTGAAAGTATTCGGTAGATAGTGGTTTCAATCTTAAACTAGAAATAGAAACTGCAGCAGGTACCAAGGCAACAGCTCGTTGGTTTGTTCATCACGTCAAGTGACAGCAACCAAATCCTATATCATTTGTCAAGTCAAATTGGTTCCATGTACAAAGCTCAAGCTGGTCTTGTTTTACTTGACGTGTATATATATATATATATATATATATATATATACGTGTATACGTACACAGTTCATCACCCGTGAACAAAAGTCCAGAACAATGCACACCCGCTAATTTTGGTTTGCACGTGAGCTCAGCATACTGTGAAGGCTGACCAAAACTCATGGTTACCAGTCTTAACTCATTTATCCGTATTGTTTTTTTGACGTCGGATCTTAACAAAGTATATTTAATATTTCTTTACTTACATTCATGTAAGACATATACATTATAATATAATATACGTCGATAATATCATGCATGCATCTGTTCAAAAGCATTTTCACTGGATCGCTCATTCTTTTCCTTGCAATTATATATTGAACGACAAAGTTCATTTGAATCTTGTTCTAAAAAATCAACTGGGTCGGATCCTACTGTTTGATTTATTTGTTCGATCTGGGGGGTAGTTGAAGGTGGTGCAGGCGTTTTTAACGTCTAGTACTCTTTCCAGACAAAAAATGGAGAAACATACATTATAATGCAATATATGTAGATAATATCAAAATGTTGTTGGCAAATCCATAATTATTTATGGCGTCACGGTTCTTTTGTGTAGAAGCCGCATATTAATCAAATTGCATGTGTATTGGTAGCTATATATATATATATATATATATATATAAACGTATTCCTCCTGCCAAATTTTGACGAAGAAAATCCAAAAACAAGCCCACGTCCAAATCCATCTCTCCTATCCAATCACCACATGGTGTTGATTGACCCACCAATTTCACTATTAAACAACCACATATACATATATATATGTCCATCGTCTCATCTAATCTTTAATAGTCAGCATACCCTCTTCTACTTGTTGGTTTATATATCTTCTTCCATGATCATATATATATATATATATATATACGTATATAAGATGTGCTTGACAAAACTCCTTCGCATGGCAAATAAGACCATATGTGGAAGGAGATCAACAATGTCTTGGGGTAATCCAGTAGGGAAGAAGGGTCATTTTGTGTTTTACTCGGTTGATAACAAACGCTTTGTGGTTCCCTTAGCATACTTGAATACCGCCATTTTTAAAGAACTACTCAAGTTGGCAGAAGCAGAGTTTGGACTGCGAAGAGATGGACCGATCACTTTGCCTTTCAGTGCAGCCTTCTTGGATCGTCTTGTGTCTTTACTTTAAACATTCGCCTTTTCTTTCTATGCTTGACAACCAATTCATTCTCCTCCATTGCTTATTAGTTAATTACTTCTCGCCAATTGTATGCTTCACAAAGAACAAATTTTTCCATGTGTACATATACTATACCAATTTCAAATTTTTAAACGTCTTCTTTCCACAAATTGAATTAATAACAATCTGTTCAGCTGGATTGGGTTGCTTTCCTTGCGATCTGTGTCATCCGAATTGTTTTCATTATCTCTTGACGATAATTTAATGTATACGTGGTCTCATATATACAATCACATTATTTGTTCGTTCGAATAGTAAAAGTCAGATTAATTAGATAACTTTATACGGTTACAAAATAGTTCGGGTTCATGTATAACTGAAAAGAGCAAAACTGCTTTTTAATTAAGAATAAAACTACTAATGGTTAAGGAAAGAAAAGTGATTAGCATAAGATTTGGAAGTGATTAGCAAATCTCATGTGCCGATGTGGAGAGGGATGATGATTGCGTATTAAATCTCACTCATGGCTTTCTATATGCAACACCTACTTAATTAATTAATGGGTATCGTGTTTTTATATTTTTAAGAAGTATATATGGTCCTAGTGTAACATTCCGAACTCCAATGTAAGTGAATACGGACGTTAACACAACATTTTTAACTAAATAAAAATTAAATATGCATTAGAATTACACTTTAATATACATATCTTATGGTAAAATAATTATTCGTTTACAAATAATTGAGTCATCTAAACTAATTTATAATATTAAAATAAAAACTAATAAAGTTTTTTTTCACCATCTTCTATTGATCTTAAACTTGTTCCTCGTCTTCTTTGACCTAGATGAGGGTGAATTGGGGTGAATTTCACTTATTCAATAAGAAAAAAAAATTATATAACGAAAACTTACGTACAAATATTCATGCTATATATAAAATATAATAATTTTTATCTTCAGAAAAAACGTCAAACAAACATCACAATTAAAATACACAACAAAACAAATCATCATACAAAACATATTATAATCTTTATTCTTATAACCTAATTCTTGTTCTCCTTTCAAGTCATACTTATACTCGAATTATTACAATACACTCAAAATATCGTATATAAGATTTCATCGCGCGATATCCATTATATCGTTATCGAGAACATGTGAAATGGATCCTCCCATCGCATGGATAGCACATATACAAAATCTCACATTGGCTACAGTAGTTACGTTTCCTAAGTGACCCACACTCACAAACACCTATCTACGTCTGAACTAGGTTTCAAACTTTATCTAGGTTCACCATATCTGTTGAACTTCAGCCACACACGCACGCTTCCCTCCTCGATTTATGACTAATGAATTAAGTATCTTATTTATTCTTCACAGTTTTCGTATGATTGCATTCATAGTGACTTATTTAATTTATTTTTCTAATTTACACTTCTTAATTTATTTAGTGTTTGTTTTATAAATTTATTTAATTTATTTAGTTTCTTATTTAAAAATCTAAAATTTATATTAATTTAAGATTTTAACTTCTATAAACAATTAAATACAAACAGATACACAATATATAATATCATCATGCACATCAAAACTATATATTTTAAAATACTTTCTAAATCATCATATACTATATCACACAGCAAGTACATGACACTAAAATTTCTCGCGCAACTGTACTAGATCACATACAGAGTACAATGCACTGTACATCTCTACTAGATCATACAGGTAGTGCAGTGTACCCAAATTTCACACATACACATATTGGTTATACATTTCATATGCATAATATATATACACACATTTTAATACATACATATACATTATAATACAAACATATACCATCACTTCATGTCTAACATAGAATATATATTTAGATTCACACACACACAATCTCTACTGATATATACACACATGTTCAAACTTAAACATGTATACACAATCACACACCATATACAAGATATATACATATATATATTTATTCACGCATTTATTCTTATCAATTAATATCTTATTTATCGTATATTTTTATATATATACACACACACATGCATAACAACGTATATACACTACAAACACAAACAAATATAAATTAGACATACTAATTACATATATTACATTACACATATTTAATATTTACACATAATGCACTATATATATACACATTTACATAAATATATAATTTATGTATCTCTAGTGAATATACATAATTCTTATATATGGTATGATCAGAAAAGCTTTGAGAATCATTTCTATATCGATTTACGATCCTCTCGAAAATTTGAATACTATTTATTTCTCTTAAGACACGCGGTCTCGGTCGCCAACGTCACCCCGTGTCATCACATGCGTGTCACAGAAAATGTCAAGTGTTGATGATCGAATCAGCAGACATTGTCGCATGCAGTGCACTAACATCATATTTAATCGTCACATTTCTATTTTTGTTCCTTAATTTTTTTTCTTTTCTTTCATTTTTTTTAATTTTTTTCTTTTACTTTTTTTTTCTCTTTTTTTTTTCTTCTTTTTTTCTTTCTCTCTTTTCTCCGTTTTTCTTTCTTTCTTTCTTCTTCTTCTTCCTTCTTCTTCTCTCTCTCTTTCTCTTTCTTCTTCTCCTTCTTCTTCTCTTCCCCTCTTTTTTTTTCTTCTTCCCTTCTTCCTCTTCTTCTTCTTCTTCTTCTTCTTCTCTTCTTCTCTCTCTTTCTTTCTCTCTCGGCTGCGGCGTCGCACAATGCGACGAGACCCTTCTCCCTTTGTCGTCGACACCGCTAGATCCTTTCTCTTCTCACAGTTGCATATCTCTCTCCTCACTCTCTCCTCTCTTTCTTTCTTTCTTTCTTTTTTTATTTAATTACATATATATATATTTGCAGCTTGAATATTACATATATATATATATTTGCCGCAGCTACATACATAAGTATATATATGCGTATACATATCCACATAATACATTTACATATACTCGGTGTCACAGTAACCAAGCCAGCGATGGCCTAGCTACCTCTTTTTGTCTTATCTTTTTTTTTTTTGTTACTTTCTTTTTCTTGTTATGTTATGCTGGTTGTTTATTTTTCTTCTTCTTTTCATACTCTCTTAGGACTTAGGTTTCTCTTTTGTAGTTGCGCTTGGCATTTGCAGGTAATAACTCTATGGCGGATCAGTGGTTTCGGAAGTTGTGCGTCTTATTTTCATCTATGGCCTCTTGTTCAACACAATCAGCATGGAATTCATTATGGTTTGTCTTTTGTAATTGGTCACACATGTCTTCGCTAGAAGAGCACTATGTAACCCATGGTCTCGAATAAACTCTTCCTCGTGCTGGCAAGCTAATCCTCCTCGTAGATGCACATCATTGCGAGCTTATTAGGTAGATCTTCCTAGAGCTCCACTGAACAAACTAAATCATTCTTTTCATGTGTTTTTTTAAAATAGCTCAACCTATGTAGATGTCATATTTATTTTAATACAGTTTATGCATTGTCTCTCAATGTTTAAAGTCGAAAATAAAATAATTATACATACATTAATTAATTCTTTTACCATTCACTATTACATAATTAGTTAAAACAAATTTATTCATTTGACAATCTATTTTTTCAATCCAATATAATATATAACATACTTGCACAAAAGCACCAACAGATCGTAAAAGCAGAAGATAATGTTGAATTAGCGAAAGTAAAGTTACTTTGAATAGTAGAAAGGAAGTGTGGACTGAAGCAACGGCGGAAACATATGGCTTTAAGCACCCGGCTGCTTTGTATGTTCAAGGCCTACCTAAACTAGTACTACAAACCCTCTACGTCATTCTCTTGAATCAGCATTCCTTGTCTGTTCTCACTCACTTCCAACTCATTGCATTATTAATTGTACTAACCAATCACACACTTCCAATATTTTCATTTATATTGAAATATCATTCATGGGTTTTTCTAAAACTAAGAAAAGTTGACAACTTCATTAGCTAAAGTATATGAACATTACCAACCTAATAATGCAACTCCTAACTTTTGGAACGGTGATGAGTAGAATTTTAAACAAATTAAAAGTGATGCACGCATGCATGCAAAGTTATAAGGAAAAGGGCAACGAAATTACTTGAGATACGATGTGTAAACACACTCATGTTTGGTGGGATAGAATGATAAAAAATGGAGATCATTAAGAAAGAGAGAGGAAGAAACCTTAGAAGCATTCAAAATTGTCCAGCAGGGCAAGTCACTTTATGAGAAACACAACAGAGGTCAGTCAATGTCTTCACTTTATGCAAAGTCCACCACTTACAGATTCCATCTTGCTTTTTTAGATGGAAGGGGAAAGACGATTAGGATTTTGGAGCTTTTCCTTAGAAAGTTTATACATTTTCATAATTAACTGATATAATTATGAAAAAAATAATGTAATCAATCTCTTAATAATGATATATACGTTCTAAAATGTTTTAAATTATCTATTTTATGTATAATTTTGTGCGTATAAGATAAAAAGAGCTAGCCCACTTTCTTCTCAACTTGAAGTAATTAAACTTATGAGTACTAGATTCATGTTTAATCACTACTTACTCAGCTTCCACCACGTACAACCTCATTCAGCTTTCCATAAATAACAACCCCTCTATTTCTCCATATATATACATATATATATATGCTATACACACACATAAGTAGTACAATATATAGAATCATTACTGGGAAAACTGATAACAATACAGTAAGTTTACTTATTGATCCGGTTGTAGAGATGGGTGAGGAGGTAGTGAGAGATGTAGGGAGTAACTCAGTTGAATTCAATTCTCAATCAGCGGTGGTGGATTCGTCCCCTAAAAGTCCATTTGGCCAAATAACTAGTCCCATGAAAAAAGCTTTTGCAAGCATGCAAAGTCACCTTGAAGAAGTCGGCCATTTCACCAAGCTTGACCCTCAAGATGATTGGCTTCCTATTACTGAGTCCAGGAATGGAAACGCTTACCACTCCGCGTTTCACACGCTGAGTTCTGGTATCGGGTTTCAAGCCCTGCTTCTTCCGTACGCCTTCACTACCCTCGGTTGGTGAGTTAATCTCATGCCATTAATCTAATTTTAGTTAAAATATAATCTCCTCTAACGAGATATATATATATATATGTCTGCATGTGTATATTGGTTAAATGATATTGCAGGGTCTGGGGCATTATCTGTCTCTCCCTGATTTTCACTTGGCAACTATACACGTTATGGCTTCTGATCCACCTTCATGAATCCGAATCTGGGATACGTTACAGCAGATACTTGCGACTATCCATGGCGGCTTTTGGTAAGCCTCCTGTAATATTAGTATTCACGTAAAATACTTATCAAGATTCATGCCAACTTATGACTGACTGACTGCCGAAACCACCGAATATTCTACAAATCCTAAATTAATTCATTTATTTGTCACAGAAATGAACCACAGAATATATACAAAGTAACATATATATATATATATCTATAAATTAATATGATAATATACATTATCGTTATCTATTTAAATTTTAATGATATATATATATATAACTAGTTTTAAGTTATTGATATGTGATTATTTAAAACCAACAAATTGACAGCGTACTTGTGATTAAATTTTGCAGGAGAAAAGCTAGGGAAAGTGCTGGCATTATTTCCAATTATGTACCTATCAGGGGGCACGTGCGTGGCACTAATCATGACATCAGGTGAGACTATCAAAATATTCTTCCAAATCGTGTGCGGTGAAACCCCTTTGACCACCATAGAGTGGTATGTCTTATTCACTTGCACAGCCATTGTTATTGCTCAACTCCCCAACTTGAATTCAATTGCTGGAGTTTCCTTAATCGGAGCTCTCTCTGGCATCACTTACTGCACCCTTCTATGGCTGCTCTCCGTCATTCACGGCAGACCCAACAGTGTGTCTTATGACCCTCCCGGGGACGTTCTCTCTATGCCTACCCTCAACGCACTTGGTATCGTAGTCTTCGCCTTCAGAGGCCATAACCTTGTTCTCGAGATACAGGTTTTTCTTTGTAATTTGGTTATAGTTAAAAAGATTAGCAATTTTATAGTAACAAGAATAATAAAGTCTCTAATATTATGTTTGGCCATCTGGGTATTGTTGCAGGGGACTATGCCCTCCAGTGCACACCACCCATCTCGCGTACCAATGTGGAGAGGAGTTAAGTTAGCGTATCTGATAATCGCCATCTGCATTTTCCCCCTCGCAATTGCTGGCTATTGGGCTTACGGCAATTTGGTGAGTCTCCCAACTCATACCCTGCTGCTTGGCTATTCCTAATCGCCTCTTCCTAACGAGTCTACTTGTGATTTGCTTGCTGCCAGATACCAGCCAATGGAGGGATGTTAAATGCGTTGTATTACTATCATAAAAATGACACATCGAAACTCCTTATAGCCTTAACAAGCCTGCTCCTTGTAATTAACTGCCTCAGTACATTTCAGATATATGCTATGCCAGTGTTCGACAATCTGGAATCCAGATTCACTAGCAAATGGAAAAGGCCATGTCCCCGATGGCTACGTTCCACAATCAGGGCCTTTTTTGGATGCCTTGCATTCCTTATAGCAGTTGCATTGCCATTCTTGCCAAGCTTGGCAGGACTGCTTGGAGGGATTGCATTACCGATCACCTTAGCATATCCATCTTTCATGTGGATCAACCTCAAGAAACCTCATAAATACGGTTCAAATTGGTGTCTCAATTGGGCACTGGGGATCCTTGGGATGATTATCAGCATTTTAGTGGTTGCTGGAGCAATATGGAGTATAGTCCTCATTGGGTTACCAATTCACTTCTTCAAGCCTCTCTAACCACAAGATATGAAATGGAAAGGGACTACAAAGTATGTCATCAGACTTCTCGTGTACCAAACTGCTTACCTCTTAAAAATTGAAGGAACCAACGATTGTGAAAGATGGCAGTACCACTTTAAACGATTTTCTTAACCCACACTACCTTAAACTGCAACGATAATTGCATTATCTGAAATCAATGTCATTGGTTTATAATATAGAATGTATGTCATCTGCAGATACACTAATATTAAATATACACACACATAAGGCAATAAACACAATGACAGTCCCCATAATATCTGCTCAAAGGCCAACTGGTGATCAATTCTATCAAAAATCTGCAATGATCAATGCCAAAATTTCACCAATCATGAACAAACATCTGAGAATAACCATATACGAATTTCACAACAATCCAATAATCCATTCCATCTTTACCCTACTAGTTATCACAGAAAAAAATTTATGAGGCTCTCAATTAATTGGAATTTCAAACATAATTTGGTCATTTTACTTAAATTTGTAATGCAGATCTAATCTGTCAAGGGGGCAAATCAGGAAGCTCTAATCATTGGCGGCCACCTTTACTTTCCTTTCATTTCTATAAACTACAGTCGTGTCTCAGTCATATTACATTATAAAACAAATGTTTGCCTCTACATTTGCAATTCTTTGAGTAACGCGGAACTAAGCAGATACCAAAAAGAAACCATGCCTTAAACTAACTGCACCTTGCTCAGTCAAACATCCCATCTCCCATCTTCGATGACAAGCGACAACATTTACATGCCACTACCTACGATCAGCAATCAATTAAGTATCGTGATCACATCAACCATATTCTTTAATCAACTTTCTTGATGTGCAATTACATATTCCAATTAACCAAACTGAGGAAGAGCCAAATGCAATCGCCAATAGTTCTCACAGTCGCCAAGACAAAGAGGGTTCACTTCAGAATTGCAGGTTCACACGTTGTCACATGGATAGAGGAAGAAGCATCCGTCGCTTCTTTTTCCTAGCCAATCTCACCTGCTTTGTTATTTTCATGCATAGAAGTAATAGCATTGTGACGCAGACTAAGATAAAAGCAAGTTGCAAATGCCTGAAATATAAAGAGACTGCCGAAAAAACAAGGAATGCTAGTATAAGAAGCTCCCATATAACGAAGACCACAACATCCACCCTGCAATCATTGAAAAAAAAGGACCAAAATAAGATCAGGAGTTTATGGACATATGAGAGAGAGAAAAAAGGAAATGAACCATGACCAATAAAATTTGCATTGGCAAAAAGTTTAAATGAACTTATCTATTTGAACCAACAGGACAATAAGTGATCAAGCTCATCACTTACAAAAGCCAAGACATGGTCAACTGAATAAGTGATACAACCCAAAACAGAGTTACATTTTGCCGTTCTATTTATGCCTGAATCTACTGATATCTTAATTCCAAACAAAGAGATTTCTCTTCTAAAGAAACAACTGGAACATAATTTTTTCTTTTAAAAAAAAATTGAGAAGGAATGTAATCTTGCAATGAAACTACAGTTCCATGAAAAACAGTGATTACAAAGTAGAAGTAGAACCTATGCCCAAAAATCTCCTAAAGGCCAACTGCATCACTACGAGACCCTAGAACAAAGACGTCTGGCAAAAGAGATTTATGTACCAATGAAAGTATAATCTCCACAATTGTTCTAAATAAGGTATGACCTACATCATCGACATCAGTATATTTCATATGATAAGCTTGAGGGCTACAACAAGCAGGAGCTAAAACGCCAAAAATGTAAAGTTTTGAACAATTTTCATGCAGGAGTAGTAGCACAGATGCATGTGAAAAGTACTAAAGTTCTCATCATTTATTAAAATCACTAATCCATTGACATCTTTCAATCTAGGCTAGCTTATAGGTATCTGATCCTAGTCTATTAGTAATTTAAGCAAGCCCTTAACAAAAATTTAGGAAGTTATGACACCCAATTATAAGCAGCGTAGCCTGCACTTCACCAATTCCACATGATTTCATGATCCTGAAAGCTAAGAATAGGTACAAAGCCATTCATGAAACATGACTCTATGCTCCCATTTGACATGACTATTTGCCAATGATCAAATGGTGGGCGGTGGCACGTATAACAAATTATGAACAAAATAAAATCTGGTGTTAGACTTTCAATGCTTAGCTTTTGCCCTAGCTTGTTTATTCAGTCAGTCCTCAATTACAAATATAGAAGGATATGAAGAAAACTTGCCAAACCATCAAGAAATGATATTACAACATCTTAAATTCAAACAAAGAGACAGAATAGTTGTCATATTAACTAAAGACAGTTTCTCTCATTTCCAAAATCAATGAGAAACCCCGACTTCTCACATTGATACCTAGTAAAGAATGCAAATATAACAAGAGCATAAATTACAATAAAAACAATCTGCCACCACCGTAAGCAAAAAGAAACAATCAGCTCCCAAGGTTTTGCAACAGACTTCTAGAAGCCAAAGGCAAATAAAAAAAAAAGAACACATCCAAACACCAACGGCTGAACTAAAATTCAATGAGCTGCTTTCGCATTTTGCTCAGAGAATATCTAACAGCACTTAATTTTCAAGAGCCTAATTCATACTAAAAAACAGAAAAATCTCCCATTTCCCTTTTTTAAGATTTTTTTTTTTTTTAAGAAAGGTACCAGTATACGATACAATGATTACCAAGTTAGTAAACAGACATCCTCAGTTTCTAGTTGTACCTGTTGATTCTTTTTGGGTTGATTCTTCTCAAAACCCTTTCCTGGAAGGGTCATAGGCAGTTTACGTTGTATTATCAAAGGAAACAAGAAGATTACATGCTCACCTATTTGCCCTAAATATCATTCTGAAATTTGTGAAAACAAAAAGCCATCTTCATAACCAGCCGCATCAAGCTTATCTAAATTAAGGACGTAAACTAACCTATTTCAATTACCTAAAAAACATTCCTACGTTTGTATTATTTGTTTCTTTAATCTTAATTTTCGAGATTCCCATCCCGAGCTTTCATGACATAAGTTATAATCAGAACCCCCAAAAAGAAAAGGCACCCAAAAACTCTAGCTGATCTACCCAAAATGATACAATTAGAAGTGAATTTAGAGCCACAATGTCAAGCAAAAAGAAGAAACAACAAAAAGACCCCCAAAAATTGCAAACTGGAAAAGGAGAACGAGAAATTAACAGACCAAATAACGTTTGTACCTTGAAGACGTGAAATTAGAAGTGGAGGAGAAGAAGGAGACAGACGCCCAATCATGTTTGGATCGAATCTGATACTCTCTCAACTGCTCTGCCAGATTCGATCTCGTTATCATCGCTGCCCGCGCTTCCTCTTTCTCAAAGTAAATACGCAGTTTTTCTCTCCCTATAGCTCAAGAAATGGTTGAACGGAAGAATTTGCAGAGCCGAAGGCGAATAGAACGATGAACTGAGAGGAAATAGAACAGCAACAGCATCAACATTCAATTCGCTTTGGCAGGGTTCGCTGCGGGAACCGGCTCTCCCCAATTCTTCCTTCCTTCTGGTCAATAACCCAATCGGGTTGCGTGACATTGATGCGTGGGCCGAACCTGAGATTGGTTTATATCAATTACTCGGCCCGTCATTACTAATTACTTTAACCTTAAAAATAAATTAAAAACTTAATATTATTTAAATTATTATATATCTAATTTTTAAAATTATTTATTTTTTAATATTTATTTTAAATTTTGTAATATAATTAATTAAAAAAATTACAAATTACTTTAACCTTAAAATTATTTTTACACTACTTTTTTTAAATAATAAAAAAAAAACCATTCCGGACCGAACAACTAATTGGGCCCAAACAGACCCGTGAAATATCAGCCTTTCGATCTTGGATCACTGGCCCATTCCCCCACGATTTATTAATCGACCTTATTGGGTTATCGCCTCCAGTGACTCGTTCCGATTAGGAGTCCCCGAGAAACCCACATGGAGGCAGCGACGGAGGCTCCCCAAGAGCCGTCTGATAACCCTAACGATGTCTTGTTCGGCGGGACCTCGACGGAAACTGACCCCGTGCTCTCTCCAATCCACCCACAGAACCACATCGACAGTCTCCAGAATTCGACGGAGAACAACTCTCCACCACCCAATACGACAGTCGAAGGCGGAGGCCCCGTTTCTGACTCCCAGGAAGATGATTCCTCCGACCCCGTACCGGAGGACCCGCTTGACGAGCATCCTCAAAATCCTGACCCCACGGAACCAGGCCCTCCGGCCAGGAAACGGCGCAAGAGAAAGCGCCTCTTCACGGAAATCAACGGCAATCCTTCGTTGTCCAAAAACCGGCGACACCGAGTTTCCGGCGTCGCAAAAGAAATAGACACGGAGGCGTGGATCGCGATTTCAGTAGGATTTCCTATCGACTCACTCACCGAGGAAGAGATCGAAGCAAACGTTGTGTCCACAATAGGAGGCACCGAGCAAACCAACTACATCGTCGTGCGTAACCACATTCTCGCGCGGTGGAGGTCCAATGTGTCCGTTTGGTTAACCCGTGATCACGTGCTCGAGTCAATTCGTGCCGAGCACAAAACACTTGTAGACTCTGCATACAACTTTCTAGTTGAGCATGGTTACATTAACTTCGGTTTGGCACCGACTATCAAGGAAGCAAAATTGAGGTCGTTCGATGGGGTTGAGAGGGCAAATGTGGTGGTGGTCGGTGCAGGTCTTGCCGGTTTAGTGGCTGCCAGACAGTTGGTGTCAATGGGGTTTAAGGTTGTCGTATTGGAAGGTAGGTCCCGCCCCGGCGGACGCGTCAAGACGAGGAAGATGAAGGGTGATGGAGTGGTGGCTGCAGCGGATGTTGGCGGAAGCGTTCTCACTGGAATAAATGGAAACCCACTGGGTGTTCTCGCGAGGCAATTGGGGTTACCTTTACATAAGGTGAGAGATATTTGCCCCTTGTACTTACCTGATGGGAAATCTGTTGATGCTGATACTGATTCTAGAGTAGAAGCTTTGTTTAACAAGTTGCTGGACAGAGTTTGTAAGCTTAGGCAAGCAATGATAGAGGAAGTTAAATCCGTAGATATTCCATTAGGGATTGCACTTGAAGCTTTTAGAAACGTTCATAGGGTTGCTGAGGATCCACAAGAGCGAATGCTCTTGGATTGGCATCTTGCAAATTTAGAGTATGCCAATGCTTCTCTGATGTCTAATTTATCCATGGCTTATTGGGACCAGGATGATCCTTTCGAGATGGGTGGTGATCATTGTTTTATTCCCGGTGGGAATGAGAGGTTTGTTCGAGCACTTGCTGAGGACCTCCCAATATTTTATGGAAGAACAGTGGAGAGTATTAGGTATGGGGTTGATGGGGTTATGGTTTATGCGGGTGGGCAGGAGATTCGTGGGGATATGGTTCTGTGTACAGTGCCTTTAGGCGTGCTTAAGAAGGGAACAATTGAATTTGTTCCCGAGCTTCCCCAGAGGAAGAAAGATGCAATTCAGAGGTTAGGATTTGGATTGCTAAATAAGGTTGCAATGTTGTTTCCGCATAACTTTTGGGGCCGAGAGCTTGACACATTTGGTCATCTAACAGAAGATTCAAGTACTCGAGGTGAATTCTTTTTGTTTTATAGCTACTCTTCTGTGTCAGGGGGGCCACTTCTTGTTGCACTTGTTGCTGGAGATGCTGCAAGGAAGTTTGAGCTGATGTCTCCAGTGGAATCTGTAAAGAAGGTACTTGAAATATTGCGGGGGATTTATCACCCCAAAGGGATTGTTGTTCCAGACCCAGTTCAGGCACTTTGTAGTCGTTGGGGGAAGGATCAGTTCTCGTATGGATCTTACTCTTACGTTTCAGTTGGGTCTTCGGGGGATGATTATGATATTCTTGCTGAGAGTGTTGGAGATGGAAGAGTATTCTTTGCAGGTGAGGCAACTAACAAACAATATCCAGCTACAATGCATGGAGCTTTCTTAAGTGGGATGAGAGAGGCTGCCAACATGTTAAGAATGGCAAAGAGGAGGTCATTGGATCTGGCTAACAAATTAAATAATGATAATGAGGAAAACGATGATTTGAATGAACTATTTGAGACACCTGACTTGACATTTGGGAGTTTCTCTTCTTTGTTTGATCCCAGATCAAACGAACTTGACTCTCTCGCTTTGTTGAGGGTAAAATATCATGGGACATCTGACTCGATCTGTCTTTATGGTTTGATATCAAGGAAACAGGCCGTTGAACTTAGTATGTTGGATGAAGATGCAAGCAGAATGAAAACCTTACATCTCGACTTTGGGGTAAAGTTGGTTGGGAGGAAAGGATTATCTGAAGCTGGGGAGAGTCTCGTCGCTAGTGTTAGAGCTGCTAAATTGAATCAGCAGCTTTTTGAGCAATAGATGTGACTAACAAAATTGGTTGGTAACATTCTTTTTACTTTGTTTCCATATTGGACTCTTGATTGTTTAGATTTTAGAGAACATAGTTGATAGATGGAATAGTGACTCATTCCTAGTACCTTCACAATCAAGGACTAGATTAATGGACATGATCTATTCAATTGCCTAATGTGTTTTTGTACATTCTTTGGTGGAAATGCTGGATTGACATTGCAACTCGAATTTCTTTCAATTAATTAACTTTCTTATTGTTGTTATTTTTGCTTTGTTTTTTAACTCATGTCCATCATAAGGGAAACATGTGATTTTCTTGCATTAAAAAACTTGAAAACTTAGGGTTATTCAATTCTTGAAAGGAATGGCTTCTACTGCAAAGTGATTGAAAGCGTGAAAGTAAGTGGAAAAGATGAATGATGCATCTGCCAACCGGGTATGTATGTTTATCATATTCATCTGCTACTCGTGTGCATGGGAGTTCTGCTGTTTCTCATATTTCTTATCACGCAGCATGTTCATTTTTGTAGATGATTATTGCCGGATCAATGAAGTGGTGGCTCTTACCAACTTCCTTCGCCTCCCATTGCGGTGAAGCTTTTGGGCTCGTAGAGCTCAGGGAAGTATTAACTTGTTTTTTGCTATCCAAACTCCTCTCTTCAGTAACCCGAGTTAATTTTTCTAGCCGGACACGATTGAGGGACTTCTTTCGTTTATATAGAGCATAAAAGGAAAGTATATAATAATTGAATCAGGCGCAGGGTGGTGGCAAATTATAAGCCATCTACGATTTGTTGCGCGCAGATGCGCGATGCATTTAGGGTGGTAATTTAGGTTGAAGGTGAGTTTTACCAACTTCGAAACGTCAAATTAAGTTGGTCTAAATCTAAATTTCATTCGGAATAGTATTTCTTCTATTTAGAGTGGTTAAGCATGCTCATCGACGTTCAAAAACTGTGAAATATATCTTCTATGTAATATAAGATTCGAGCTAAGAGTAAGGTAATTCCGTCAGGAGCCCCAAGTACTGGCTTGCGACTTCCGAGGTAGTCTGGAGTAAATTTGAAGGATCGTCTTATTCGGCAGAGGCTATCCACTGAACCAACCAGTCCAATTGGTCGTAAATGGACAAGTTTGTATTTATCTCAAAGATTTCAAATCATGGTCCACACACCGTAGAATTGGGCCATCAATAATTATTTGACTTTATATTATAATTATCTTTATAATTAAAATTAACATTAAAGAGCATTGATAGCCTTATCTCCCACTAATAAAATAAAATAAACCCCCTGTCCGTCCGTCCGTCCTTGGCCATTTTCTTCCGCTTAATCAATCATGTATTCGTGAAATTCATTTGCTTTGATTAGCCTCAGAAAAGAAGCACGACCCCACGGCTTTTTCCTTGTTGATCACGACTGCCTTCGAATCAAACACGTCACGTGGACTCACACGTGCAATTCCCACATGCCTTCCTATACTATATATTGTGTATTGTATGTACGTACGTACGTATGGGGAAGTGGATTAGCAACACCAAACCGACCACCTGTTCCGCTCCCTCCTCCCGAGTAACGTCTCTCCAGATATTGACAACGCCCAATTTGAAGTTTAACCAAAATCATCAAATACCACCCCGCTAAAAGAAAAGAACGTGGCCCCCACTCAATAACACACATGGGGCCCTTACACCGACCCTAGCGTATTTATACTCTCGAGGCCGACATTGCTCGGTCCCACCAACAATATCTCACCACTCCCCTTCTCACACGTGTCGCCTATTTTCACGCTTCCAGCGTGTCTCCTCTTGCTTTCTTTCTTTCTTTCTTTTGTTTATTTTCTCCTTTTGACTGTTACTTTCCTGGCGCGCTCAAAAACACTCGCTCCATCTCCTCTAGGACGCGTGTCCTCTTATGAGAGCGAGTAGAGTCCGAAGAGAGTACGATTCTTTTTATTTATTAGTTACGTACGTCGGTTACAGAAATGGAGATGGAGATGGGGAGACACACCCAATTACCTCCCCCTCTCTCGCGTCAGAACCGCGTTGCATGAATCATCATTCTCCCTTTGGGAACGCTATAAAATGCCCCACCCTCCATTACCTCAACATCATCATCACTGCCCAAGTAAACATACCCAAATAGCATCCAATACACATACCCTCCCCGCCCATCACTACTGTGATTATCTTTTTCTCTCTGTTTTTCTGCTTTCTTGTTAATAGCTAATTAGACGCTTTCTCTGGTGATTGATCTTCGTTCGGAGTTTTTGTTGGAGTTGTCTGATCAGTATGGCTGAACACCACGAGAGCGAGACCAAAGTTGTCGTTGAGGAGGCAGAAGTGGAGGCCAAGGATCGGGGATTGTTCGATTTCTTAAAGAAGAAGGATGAAGACGAGAGGCCTCAAGAGGAGGTGATCGTCACTGAGTTCGAGAAGGTTCAGGTCTCTGAACCCGAGCCCAAGATCGAGGAGCCCCTAAGGAAGAAGAGGAGAAGAAGCATTCTCTCTTAGAGAAGCTTCACCGATCTGACAGCAGCTCCAGCTCCGTAAGTTCCATTTATATATTTTCTATGTTGTAGTTATATTATAATATTGGAAGATTTTTTAAATCAGCATGACTCTGCTTGCGGTGTCACGGAAACTTTAAGTGTTCATAGTCGCGATCCGTAGAATTAATGTATTAGCGGTTGATCTGAGACCTTGTACGATTAATTGAATGGTAAGTACGCTTCTAATGGCTTTCCAAATTTTGCAGTCCAGCGATGAGGAAGAAGGTGAAGGAGAGGAGAAGAAGAAAAAAAAGAAGAAGGGTCTGAAAGAGAAGATCAAGGAAAAGATCTCAGGAGAAAAGGAAGAAGAGAAGAAAGAAGAGGACACCACAATCCCTGTTGAGAAAGTTGAGGAGCCCGCTGCCCATCCTGAAGAGAAGAAAGGATTCCTTGAGAAGATCAAGGAAAAACTTCCAGGCCAGCACAAGAAATCTGAAGAGCCGGCCTCCCCTCCTCCTCCGGCAGAGAGTGCAGCCCCCGAGCCTGAGAAGAAGGGCATCTTAGAGAAACTCAAGGAGAAGCTTCCTGGGTATCACTCCAAGACTGAGGAAGCTGACAAGGAGAAGAAAGAGACGTCAGATTAAGAATTACAAGATCTCATGTTACTTTTTGAGTTATGATCGTTGTGTGGTTTATTTAGTGTTCAATTTTTTTTTTTTTTTTTTTCTGTTTCCTTCCTTGTGGGATTTTCAGGTTCATATATAAGCATTATATACAGAGATGCTTGATATACGTGCTTATATATAGGCTTGTTTACTGAATTACTATGCATGTTTTGGGGGAAGAAGGTCAATCATCCTCTGCTTCTATGATTCGAAAAGTGTTATCAAGAGATTTCTTTGCTTGTAAATCTGAAGCTATGATTTCTAACTTCATGCTTTCTTTCTTCAGCCTGCGAGTGATTATACTTTCTGGCCCCATATCGACCCTCTCTGTTGACACTCGATTAGGGGCGAATGTTCATGATTTTGATTTATTAACAATAAAATAATTTGTGATTTATATAATCATTACAAAAAATATTTATTATTATATATTATTAATTAGAATAATAATTTGTTTTTCAGGTCTCAAATCAATTTTAAAAAAGTTAGGTTCGATTATTTGGATAATAATATATTCATTTAAAATATCATTATAAACTACTTAATTATGATTTTTTTATAATAATAGATTCCATTATAAACATATTACTAAATTATTTTAACTTATATATTATTCTATATTAATTATGATTATTTAAATAATAATAATTATCGTAATAAAAAATTAATAACATATTCTGCATATTCTGATTCAAACATATTCTGCAAGATTAAATTTGAATATGATTTAATTAGAAACTTATATTTTAATGATTAAATATATTCGCTAATAACTTTATGAGTGTGATTAACAAAAAATTTAATTAAATTAAAATTTAAATTGTGTAATAGTATCTTTTTAATATAATATATAATTAGGTGTGATAATTTTAAAATTACGTGAAATAAATAATAATAATAATAATAAAGTAAATATCGCATATACTTAATTGGCCACTTAAGCATATAATATATGATTGGATGTGATAACTTTAAAATTACGTAAAATAAATAATAATAATAAAGTAAATATCGCATATGCTTGATTGGCCGCTTAAGCAACATAATAACACATGCCAATCGATAAAAGCACGCCTTGTCAACCTTCACATTCGCGGAGCAAACTAAGAATATCTCATCTCATTGGCAACCCAACAAAAATCCTTCTCATATTTTCTTAAATATTTTACACAACAATGCAATTTCGATTCTCTTCACCACTAAATACTAAGAAATCATTGTCTAGTAAAATCCAACAATGAGTATCTACTTTTTTAAGTCTATGAACCAACTCCATATATGCTATATATATATGTATGTTATATGGGCTAGATGAAATGGTGTGACTAAGCAAAAATGTGGAGAAGTGGCGTGCTTATAGCTTTTGGGTTTATAGTTGGTCTGATTATAAGATTCACAAATGGAGAGCACTTGATTGGATTGGGAAGCTATGATATGACTGGTCCAGCCGCTGGGGTAAACATGATGGGTTATGCCAATATGGAACAGGTCACCGCCGGTGTCCATTTCCGGCTTAGAGCCAGGACTTTCATTGTGGTCGACGGCATCCAAGGTCCTAGATTTGCTTTTGTTAACCTTGATGCTGGCATGGCTTCACAGCTTGTCACAATTAAAGTGCTTGAGAAACTCAAATCAAGGTACAACTACAATACAAATAAATAGTCAGAACTAGCTAACTCATCTTATTATTACTTGGGTTTTTTTTGAAAAAAAAAAAAAAAATTAATAGGCCATGTTTATGGAATCTTGTATTTGAAAATTAATTGAAGGTATGGGAATTTGTATACTGAGAAAAATGTGGCTATAAGCGGCATCCACACTCATGCTGGTCCTGGAGGTTACTTGCAGTACTTGGTTTATTCTATAACCTCTCTTGGCTTTGTCAAACAATCATTTGATGCAATTGTGACGGCTATTGAGCAGAGTATTATTCAGGCTCATAACAATCTCAAGCCCGGTTCAGTTTTCATCAACTCAGGTATGATTTAATTCCGATATCTATTGGGTTTCTTCTTCGTTTTTCTGGCGCTGTCATGTTATAGTAATCTGCAGGGGATGTGGAAAATGCGGGGATAAACAGGAGTCCCAGTGCGTATCTCCTTAACCCAGCAGAAGAAAGAGCGAGATATAAATTCAATGTGGATAAAGAAATGACCCTTTTGAAATTTGTCGATGGTGCAACCCAGAAGAGTATAGGAGCTTTTAGTTGGTATGCAACGCATGGGACCTCCATGAGCAGAGACAACAAGCTTATCAGTGGAGACAATAAGGGTGCAGCTGCTAGATTCTTCGAGGACTGGTTTGCTTCCATCACCAACTCTGCATCTCCACCAGTCGGTGACGCATCTGCTCAAGGTTAGTTATCGATCAGAAACAGAGTTAATTGGGAGCTTAATAAAATTTTAGTCTCTACTCATTTTATTGTGTCTATCACACATGGGAATGTTGATAGAGAAAGCGAAAGCAATCAAAGCAACAGGAGGACAACCGTGTGGTAAAACTACAAGCCAAAGCTTTAAGGTGAGAAAGAATGGCGAAGGGTCAAGATTTGTAGGAGCATTTTGCCAATCAAATGTTGGAGATGTAACACCAAATGTGCTCGGAGCATTTTGCACAGATAGCGGGAAACCCTGTGATTTTAATCACTCTTCCTGTCATGGCAATGACCAGCTTTGCGTTGGCCGAGGACCTGGGTATTTATAGTCATTCCACACAGAACTTTTGTCAAACACATAACGGGTTTTGCTACGTTAATTGGATCATGATCTTTCTTTTGACAGATACCCAGATGAAATATTGAGCACAAAAATCATTGGGGAGAGGCAATTTCAAAAGGCTGTTGATTTATTCAACTCTGCTACTAAGGAATTGAGCGGCAAAATCGATTTTCGCCATGTATATCTAAACTTCACCGATATTGAAGTGGATAAAGATGGAAATACCAAAGCCAAGACTTGTCCTGCAGCTCTTGGTCCAGGTTTCGCCGCCGGGACTACTGATGGGCCTGGTGCCTTCGGGTTTCAACAAGGCGACACAGAGGTGAATACCAAATTTCATTCCTCGTAGACCCATTTGCTTAATTTTTTGAAAATACTAATACGTTTATATGACTTCAAGATCAATGAGCTATGGAGAAAAGTGAGGGACTTGTTGAAAGAACCCAGCCAATATCAAGTGGACTGCCAAAAGCCCAAGACCGTTTTGCTTGACACTGGCGAAATGTTTGTTCCTTACGCATGGGCGGTAAGGAATGCTACAAAAACTTCTCCAAAACAAGATTATCTTTTAATTTCTAACTGAAATCTATGTTGATGCAGCCAGCAGTTCTTCCAATCCAGATACTGAGGCTGGGAAAACTGATCATATTGTGTGTCCCAGGAGGTTTTCTTTCTTTTCTCCCTTATAATAAATTGATTTCCCATTCTGATAATTTCTTATATACATAAAAACAATTCATTTTCTCAGTTCATTAACAAATCAAATCCTCAATACACAGAAGAATGTTAATCCATGCATGATAGTAATATGTAACATTAGTTGCATGTTTTTGTGACTACCAAGCTCTAAAAGAATGGGTTTGTTGAGACTTGCAGAGTTTACAACAATGGCTGGTCGGAGACTGAGGGACGCAGTTAAGCAGACACTGATCAGTAATGGAGAAGGAGAATTTGATGATGAGACTCGCGTTGTAATAGCTGGCCTTACAAACACTTATTCACAGTATATAGCCACTGTTGAAGAATACACACAACAGAGATACGAGGTAATTAAAACATGCATCATACTACAATCCCCATTAAAAACAAGAAGTTTTAAACTGTTGGTAGTTAAAAATCACAATAAATTTTGCAGGCTGCTTCAACACTCTATGGACCACATACACTATCTGCATACATTCAAGAATTTAGTAAACTAGCAAAAGCAATGGCACAAGGAACCACCATTGAAACAGGCATCTCGCCACCCGACCTTTCATCAGTCCAACTGAGCCTCTTACCTGAACCCTCTGGAGACTCACCTCCACCGGGCAAAAAATTTGGTGACATCAAACAAGATGTGAGTTCTGGTTCGTTCAAGAAAGGAGACATAGTAAGCGCTACATTTTGGAGCGCTAATCCCAGATACGATCTGTTAACAGAAGGAACATTTGCGGTGGTAGAGAAGCTTCAAGATCTTCGTTGGATTCCAGTCTATGACGATGATGATTTTGACTTATATTTCAAATGGGGATTAGATAACGCTACATTTTTTGGCTTAGCAACAATTGAATGGCAAGTGACGGAGGAGGCTACTTCTGGGCTTTATCGTCTTAGACACTTTGGTTCATCCAAGAAAACGAACTCCTCTCCCATCAAATACTTTACTGGCACATCCAGTGCCTTCACAGTGTCATAGTTACATTTGGAGCTTGTTTTATTAGGAAAAGAGTGCAAAAATTTTCAACTTTACTTGAACATTCAAATCATTAGATAATGTCATAGATGATATTGACAATAAACAAACATGAGTTATAACTCTTTGAAAAAAGAAAATTGTTACTGCAATAAAAATAACTTATAATAACGAATATTTTTAACCATAGATGAGATTAGTTACTTAAGCTAAACATATACGGATTCAACTGTTGTAGACGAATGTTTATACTGCTGGAATCTGCATTCACTTACGAATTAAACTATAAATCTCATAAGATAGCCCATTAAACCAAAGCCCCCTTTGTCTCTTCCATAGAAATTCAAATGTAATTCTAGTTCTTCTCTTTGTTTCTTCACTTAAAAGTTCAAACAGCCTCGTATCATTAACAGATGTCCATTGAATAAAACCCATTAAACCAAAGCCAATATAACATAAAACAAAAATACCCTTTGTCTCTTCCAAGAATTCAAACATAATATCTGAGTTTTCTCTTTGTTCTTTCAATGGAGATTCAGATAGCTGCTTCTTTGTTATTATTCTTCGAGCTACAAATGCGCAGGCCTCCACCATTGAAATAACATCTCTTTCTTTTCTTCTTTTTTTTTTTCTATCTTTTGCTTCGAGCTTCTTCTTATCCTGAGCTATGTTGAATTCTTTAGTTTTATGTAATCTTGTTTATTCTTATTCTTTAAGATTATCCGCTCACAGCCATGCCTCTTGTTGCTACGTTTTTTGTCAATTCAACTTGACATTTTATTTGAAATTTTTGGAGACTTTTCCACTTCGAGTAAAACTTTTATAATATAAAACGAGATATCAAAATGCAGTTCATTCAAGAAAAGTGGTATACCCAGTGCTACATATTGGAATACTAGCTCAATATGTAACTTAATACAGAAACCATGTTTTTCATTGTGCATGAGCTTCAAGGCAATCAGATTTTAGTGGCACTGGTGATGGCGGTTTTCACTTTTATTTACGGAAGAGAATAGATAACACTATATTGTATGGCTTAACAACCATTAAATAGTAAGTGGCTAAAGAGACTACCTTCAGGGATTATTGGCTTAGACATTTTGCCTCATTTTAGAAACCGCAAGGATGAGTTTTTAAACATCTTGTGTATCCAAAATATCATAGCTATAAAGTAGACAATTAAACGCAAGGAGCTTGTTTTATTGCCAATAATATAAAACCATCATTCTTTTCAATCCAACATTCAAATAAATAGTGTTCGGGCTTATTTATCCATCCAAATTACACATCGGATGCACTCGCCTTTAAGCAGCAAATCAAATGCTTTGTTGATCTCTTCGAACTTAACCTCATGTGTAACGAACTCATCAAGATGCAGTTCCTGAAATGATTTTCATAAAAACTGTCAATAGGATTTAATGTATGTATAAAAGAAAGTGATCAAGTGAAAGAATGTTACCTTGTTCAAGTAATGATTGATAAGAACCGGAATATCTGATTTCGCTTTGATTCCTCCATACAGACATGCTGTTATGGTTTTTGTGCTTTGAAGAAACTCCATGGAGTTGAACTTCAACTCCGAGTCTGGCTTATCCAATCCCACCATAATTGTCTTTCCCCAACCCTGATCTTCCACAAAGATTACATGATAGATTATTATTAGCTTACCAGATGAATTACAATCATTCTCATACGAGTCATGAATTAAATTTTCCAGGTTACACAATAAAACTAGAGTGATAGTCTGAGAGAGACCTTTCTAGAACTAGCATATGCTTCTTGCACCAACGATGCTCTACCAACGCATTCAAAACAGTAATCAGCACCTCCACCGGTCATCTCTTGGATCACCTACGTACTCGACAAAAGAAATGAGAAAGGTTATTAGTGATTTGATTCATGAAGGTCTATACTATATGCTTTATCACAAGTTATTTGAAACATTATGTTTACTAAGACATTTCTCAACCATCTTGTTATACTCTATTCAAGAAATAAAGAGAAATGCAGGAGGAATACTCACCTGGCTTACGGACTTATCTCCACAGTCCTTTGGATTTACAAATTCAGTAATACCAAACTTTTTGCCTACATGAAATACAAATATAAAATCAACCGAAAATAAGTATCATGTGTTTTTTAACGTCTGGGGGAATAGAAAAGTAATTTCGAGCACATATATATATATATATATATGTTAACTGACCAACTTCAAATTTTTCTGGGTTCACATCGACACCTATTATTTTGGTAGCACCGCAGAGTCGTCCTCCCTCAGCAACCTAAAATACCACCATAGAGGAAAGTAATTTACATATTTTATACACAATAATATTACACATGAAAGTACATAATAAGAAGTAAAACAATTTAAATAATAAAGAAGAATTGCAAGAGAATACCGCTAGTCCAACTGCTCCTAACCCAAATATAGCAATGGTTGATCCTGCCTCCACTTTTGCTGTTTTCCAAGCAGCACCAATCCCTGAAACACAACATTTTATTGGTTATTGACTACTAGTTTAGTAGCTAGCTAAGTAAGTGTAATGTTGACATATAAATCTTTGATAGATTTACCTGTCGAAACTCCACAACCAAGGAGACATGCTAAATTTGGAGGGATAACAGGGTCAATCTTTGTTACATGGGCAATGTCTACAACAGTGTACTCGCTAAAACTCGACACATTTGAGAAGTGAAATAAAGGTTGTCCATCAAGATCTGAGAATCTACTTGTTTCATATCTAGGCATCCAAGGAGTGGTTTTGAAAGGAACACCTGAACAAAGATTACTTTTATCTGATTTACAATCCATGCAATTCTCACAATTTGGTATAAATACTGGGATAACAGTATCTCCTTCCACCACTTCATTTACATATTCTCCAACGCTCTCCACAATCCTGAAACATGATCAAGGAAGCTTTATTTCCAACACTTTAAGAATTACATATATATATATATATATATGAGAAACCTCTGATGAAAAAGTTATGAGAATTAAAAAAAGAACATATAATAGATAATCTTTAATTTTTACGTAAAAAATCATTATTGAAAAAATACTGCATAACTAAACAAGACAAAGAAATATGAAAATCAGATTTTCTTCATTATGTATTCGTACTTTTTTAATGACAAAGATAGACTTTAATTTTTGTTATATATATATATATGTGTATATTTAAACATAATGTAAACTAAACACAAAAAAGAAAAAAGGATGTAAACGACAATGTAACTCACCCGATAGCTTCATGGCCGAAGATCGTTGGAAAGTAACTGGCCTTTAAACACATAATACAAGCGCAAACAAATATAAATTGATAAGTTAATTCTTCAGTCCAGATTATATATATATATATGACTTACGTATATATGTATAGACAAACCATATATGTATATTAGAGAAAGAGATTTAGCGAGACCTTCATCCTCCAAAAGCTTATGTCACTCAAGCAAAGAGAGGTGCAAATTATCTTGATCCGAACCTCGTGAGGACTAGGCGGAGCTACCATGATCTCCTCCATGATTAGAGGCGTCCCTGCTTCGCGACATACGGCAGCTATAGTTTGTTCATGCAAAGTGAACAAATAAATCCTCTCAAATTAAATCATCAAAAAGAGAATAGGAAACTAGTAGAATAAACTAATGAAACTTAGATCATTACCTCTGCATCGAATTGGTTTCCCAGCGGTTTTGTTTCCAGAATCCATGAGGAAAGCAGATGAAAAAACTCACTAGTACAAAGTATGATGAATATGGTTGATGGGGGTTGGCGGTGAAAGACAAAGGAGCCATAGTATTTATAATTAAACTAAATATGCTTCCTCATGAGCTACCATAAATGACTGCTAATTCTAGGGTGAATAATGTATTTAATCTTGGCCTTTTGAATTTGAAAACTTATTGACTGCTAATTCTAGGGTGAATAATGAATAAATGATCATAACTCTCTGTCAGTCCCTAGTGGATAAATTTACTTAGTAATTAATTGATTTTCATTTGATGCGGTGATTTTAGACTATTATAAATTCAATATCAATAAATGAACGTAACTCATTTGACTTTTTGAATTCGAAAATTTATTAATGGTCAATTAAATTTCATTTGATACATTGATTTTAGAGTATTATAAATTTAATATCAATAAATGATTGTAACTCACTGTTCTTAAATAGATAATGTAGTAATCTTTGACTTTTTGAATTTAAAAATTTATTGGTGGTTAATTGACTCTGATTTGATACACGATTTTAGAGTATTATAAATTTAATATCAATAAATAATGAAACTCATGTCAGTCCCTAAATAGATGATATAATAATCTTGACTTTTTGAGTTTAAAAATTCAGTATCAATAAATGATTGTAACTCACTGTAAGTCCCTAGGTGAATACCGTTGTAATTTTGACTTTTTGAATTTGAAAATTTATTGGTAGTTAGTTGACTCTCATTTGATATATTAATTTTAGAGTATTATAAATTCAGTCTCAATAAATTAACATAACCGGCTACCTGTTCCTATGTGGATAATGTAGTAATCTTAACCTTTTGAATTTGTAAATTTACTGATGGTTAGTTAACTTTTATTTGATACATTAATTTTAGAGTATTATAAATTCAGTCTCAAAAAATCATCATAACTGCTTACTAATCCCCATATAAATAATAGAGTAATTTTAACCTTATGAATTTAGAAATTTATTGTGGTTAGTTGACTCTCATTTAGTACATTAATTTTATAGTATTATAAATTTTGTCTCAATAAATTACCATAACTGGTTACTAGTCCTTAGGTGGATAATATAGTAATATTGACCTTTTAAATTTAGAAATTTATTAGTAGTTAATTGACTCTCATTTGAAACATCGATTTTAAAGTATTATATATTCAGTCTTAATAAACTAATATAATTGGCCGCTAGTCCCTAGGTGTATACTGTAGTAATCTTAACGTTTTGAATTTGTAAATTTATTAGTGTTTAATTGACTCTCATTTGATACTTTAATTTTCGAGTATTATAAATTCAGTCTCAATAAATTATCATAATTGTCTGCTAGATCATAGGTAGATAATGTAATAATCTTTACCTTTTGAATTTAGAAACTGATTCTCATTGATACATAA